TGTCTCTATTTTATTTATTTAATTTTTATTTGTTTAGATTTTAGGCTATATAAAGGTTCTGAACAAATGAGGGCTGCATGGACGCTATAAATGGTATTTAAAAAAATTATTTCACTGAGAGTTGTAACAGTCAATCAATGCCATATCCACCTGGAGAGACTCACACAGAGAAAGTTTTATTTACATGAAGGAAATACATTCTTTGGCGCTCAGGCCCCGGCAGAAGACTCGATCATCCCTTGGATGAGTAACCTAGGAAAAGGATTAGAGTAGTCATCCCCCTGGGGCTCAGACGCTAGAACTGGAATAAGCCAGAAGATGAGTGGGACTGACAACAGCCCGAGAGTGAGGGAAGAGATGGTGCGGAGGTGGGTGAAAGTTTGCTGGCGTGAAGGAGAGAGAAGCTAGGCCGGGAGCTAAATGAAGGGGATCTTGAAGGATGATTGGCTACGAAGGAGGTGCGGTCCTGAAAGTGATTGGCTGAAGCTTGACATGGGGCGTCAGCAGGTGCTGATAGGAGCTTTCAGATTGCATTTTTTGTAAGCTTCATGTTCATATCTGTAGGTTATTCATAAAAATAGCAAGGAAGAGATAAAATAGGCCACACCTACATTCCTGCCCAAATCTTACCTTCATCTAAAGTCCATGTTCCAGGGGTCAGATTGCTGTGACCAAGAGCAGTTATCTAGAAATTATGAGGAAGCAGAGAGTTTGACCTACAAACTGATCAAAAATGGATAGAATAAGGATTGAATTGTGGTCAAAATCTCTCCTTCACACTGAGACCAACATCCCGCCGCACTCTAACCATACATTTTAAACTTTGTTGCTTGAAAGATAATTTTGGAGTAACTGTTGCTGTTATAAATGTACATATACTTTTCTAACCTTTAACGTAATTTATCTGTAGGTTAAAGTATGACCACACAGTCTTCAAAGTAGTGGATTTCTATGATTAATTCCTTTCCTTTTACCCCTGCGTTTTAATGAGATTTCTGTTTTTGGTGACTTACATTGCCATGGTAACTCAAAATACAATAGAAGTAATAGCACCCAGCTGGAGATTGAGCCTGATATCTTTAGTATGTGTGTGTCGGGTGGGGAACCTTTTAGTTCAGGCTTCATTAACGTCTGTTGAACAACATATAAAGATATAAAGAGTCCAGTTTAGAGTGAATAACTGGTGCTGCCATGCAATACATGGGGCCTTCTATGCCTCCCTGCTTTACTATAGCAGGCCCGATAAAGAGAAAGGTACTGAGGCAATGGATAAATATGAGGTTATTTGCAGATGGTCAACAAAGAGCCATTATCTTTTTGGGTGTAGTTATTCCTGCTATTGTCATTTCCTTTTTAAATGTTTCAGTTTGATACATTTTTCTATATTTAATCAATGAAATTATTATTATATATTATAAAAAAGGTATTGGTAAAATTATGAAGTTGACAGGTAAAAGAATCAATCTTTAAAAGAAAGCGAGATCAGAATCATTGAACATATCTCCTAAAATGAATTCCCTTCTCTTTAAAATACAGACATTTGAATGATTTTGTACAAAAAAAGTGAATAATTATTGAAAAGGAAAGTGTTGTTGTAGTGCCAGTTTGTATGCATTTAAAATTATTTTTCAGCAGTTTGCCATACTAATAAAACAATGGTAATTATTAGACTTAAACATAGCTTTGCTCATTTAAATGGTTTTGTGGAGTTTATGTGGATGCACTATATTCTCTTCCATGCATTGCAGTGAAGTTTTGTTTAATTGGAAAAAAAAAACATGTAGAAAGTGAATGCAAAATATAAGCCCTGTAATGATATTTAAGATTAGGAAGTCTACCTGAGGATTTGTGTACTAAGTATAAGTGAAATACATGGTCCGTTTCCTTTCTGTCCTGCTAAATCAGTGATAATATATTTTGTGATTTCTGTATATTTTTTTCAAGCAACAATTACATTCAGGGATAAATAAGTTCCCAACCAAAGAGACCAAATTCTCTAAAAACCTGAAGTATATGAGGAATAGAGGTTGGTTTTTTATCAATAAATAATTATTTCAACCCCATATAATGAAATTTGATGAATAATATTTTAAAAGTTAAAGAATCTGACATCCTTTTAATTTTTTAAGCCAATGGTTCTAAAAATAATGTAAACAATTTAACTTTAAGGACATTCTTGGCGGCATAATCGTGATACTGGAAACTGTAGAGAGGTTATGTTGCCACTTAAGAACCACGGCTAAAGGATCTTTATTTATTATCTTGAATTTATTGTTTGGAGAATTTATTGGGCGCCATACTGCCAGAAAGCTGCAGAAACAGTCAACACAGAAAATCTGTCATTTATTCCCGAACCTTTGCTGGCTGATGTCACAGAGTTTGGTTTGGGATTTTATGATTCTTTAACAGAGCTGAATTAAAGGCATATACTGAGCTTTTAAGCTCATTGGACTTCAATAAGCTTCAGTTCAAAATGTCATGCAATTAGATTGATCAAAGCTGAGTTGCTTTGCTGTTCATTTATATGTAATTATAGAGCATATTTACCTTTTTTCCATTGGAACAACCTTAACCCTTTAAAGCCTGACCCAAGAATAAAACAAAACAGAAAATAACCTTTTTTTTGGTTTGAATTCTTTTTTTTAAAAAAAAAAAAAACATTTTTGATCTTAATATTTTTTTTATGCGATAAGTCAAGATTATTTTTTGTGTAGTCTTCTACTGGCTGTTATCAGGTATATCTGATTGTGTACAATAGGATTTTGAGCAAAGTTTTTACCATAAAATTATGCAAAAGGTGTCAGATGCAAAACATTTCAGAAACCATACGTATCAAATACGATACATTTGGCATTATAGGGTTAAATTGAAACAAGTTTGAAAAACACAACTTTAAACAGCTGTTTAATATAATGTTTTTACCTCTGACGTGTCATAAAATCCACAGAATATCAGTGTTTTGGATATAAATGTGCTTTTTAAAATTTTTTTAAATCAAAGGTTGAGAATAGAAAAAGAGAATCAGTCCACATTCTGATTGTCTTATCTGTACATTTCCCCAATGCACTTGTTCTATAGTGTTGTTGTCAAGACCACACCAACCGAGACCAACGAGTGCAGAGACAAGACCAAAACATTTAGACGCTGAAGTTAAGACCATAGGTCTTTGTTTTTTAGGTTCAGTTTGAAGGAACATATGATGCCATGTCCTTTACAGGTTTTCCCATTTTTACTTTTATGATAAAAAGGACAGCAGCGTTTTTTTTTTTTTGCAACTAGAATCAAAACATAAATCTATGTACAGAGCTGGGGAAAACGTTCTCCTTTTTGGCAAATCAGGCCAAATGCATAATGGTTATTAAAACTTGTAAATAAGTGAGGGTCATTTAAAGGAACTGTTCTCCCTTTTTCCCCAGAAAACCTTCAACAAACGTGTGCGTTTTGTTTCACTTCTTTCTGAGAAGTTATATACATTTTCACTCTATTATTTCTCTGTTTGGATTACATTTAAAATGTTTATTTAATCCCACCGTGTGACACTAACATATATTATGTAGGATTTCTTGGTTCTAGCCTCACTGGTTGCTTGATTGTTCTTTTATAAGCTTCTGTTATGTCTCTTGTTTTTTTTTTTAAAGCCAATCTTTCAGTTATGTGTCTTTTTTGGGACTCTAGAAAGCTTAGAAACTCCTGCAGAGCAGAACTGCTTTTCCATTTTGTGGTTTGTTGATGGGATCTGGCTGCAGTCAGGCATCAAGCTCACAGCAGACAAGCTTATGGCCATTTTAGTCTATTTATAGGACATGGCAGCTTGGGATTCCACTGCATTCACATCCAACTGTGACCATCATACTTATAAAAAGCATAATGTCAAAATAAGGTGCTTCTAAGTTTGTCTTTCTGTTGATTGTCTGCAGGTCCTGGCTCTCATCGGCTTCATCTGCATAGAGACCATCATGATGTGTTCTCCCTGTGGAGGGGTCTACTTCTTCGAGTTTGTCAGCTGCAGTGCCTTCGTGGTGACAGGAGTTCTTCTCCTGATCTTCTGCCTTAACCTCCACATCAAGGTTCCCCAGGTCAACTGGAACCTCACGGTAAGTAGAAAGAGGGGAAAGTACTGCAGTGTCTGATGAAGTCTGAGGTCTAAAGGCTGCTACAAACTCCACAAGAACAGAGACACTTTTTTTTTTTCTCGAGGCAAAAACAAAAACACTTTGGCCTTCAATTATTCACTTTCCAGGAGAAGCTACACTGAAGATGTATCAGAAAAGGGGAGGGTAAGGGGAAACAGAGCTGGTCGGAGCATAGAACAGGCGGACAGGCGGAGAGCTGAAAGTAGAGGAGCAGACAGGAAGAACAGCTTGTGTGTGCTCTGAGGCTAATTGGAAATACCCATCTAAATCCAGTCCAACTCCAGTACAGCAGTCTGACACCTGGGAGAAAAAGGTTTGCTTAGAGGTTGTGTTGACAACAACCTCCCAAGACAGGACTGAGAGAAAAAAATGATGTCATCCGCTGCAGGAGCGGGAAAAAGGGTCTCAATCTTTGGGTCGTATGTAGCAGCCTTTTGGTTGCATAGTTACATTATTTGACATTTAAAAAATATTTATTTTCCAGTAACTCATTCTAGTTGGATACAAAGTTGTTTTCTGAAAGATTAGCGTGTCCTGTTGGAATTTTATTTGTTACATTTTTGTTTCACTCTTTGTTTTTGCTCAATTTGTCAGTAAATAAAGACCTTTGTGTATATTTACAATAAAAACAGAGGAATGATACTGTATATGTGCCTTCTACGGCTAAGCCAGTTCGCATATCATAGTGAAGTGTGGAAACAATGAAGAAAAGTCAGACATCCAGTGTGTAAATAAGCACAAAAAAAAAAAGATTTCAAAAGGGAAAAGACTCTAGCAATGTTGGGAATACAAAATGACCCTTGGTGTTTACTGAAGGCGTTCAGACGTAGCTTCTAGGTTAATGGATGCGTGAGTAAATATCCTCAGTGCTGATTCTATACTATAATTAGTCTATACAGTTAAAGTACAGATTATTAATTTTTACCGCAATGATGTAGCCCTGTTTGCCTTTCTTAGGAACTCTTTTCTCTTTTTCCCCGATGTTCTGATCCTGTTGCTTTCCCAAGAGGCATTGCAGGATGGCCAGGCTCCGTTTAGAGGTTACAGCCTGGCTTTCTTATAGTTCTGCTGTACTGACAGTCGATAGCACAAAATCTGTTTATGTCAGCTCATTGCAGCAGTGCTCAAATAATATTTAGGCTCAAAATCTAAATAGTTTCCAGGATGAAAGGTTGGTTTATAACACCTTATTTTATCTGGTCAATTTGGTAAAATATTTTTTGGTCTTGGTCTGTTCAAAGTAACACCCAAGTTAACTTTATTGGATACATGGAAATAATTATTAGTCTACACCCCTCAATTTATTGGGGTTTTTTGCTTTTGATTTTCGATTGTTCATTTCGTAATCAACAGTACAAATTCCAGCAAAACTGTGTAACAAGCGTCGTTAAAGGGGCTAAAGATAAAAAGTTAAAAAACAGGATAATGGTAGTATGCACAAGTACAATAAATAAAAGGAGGAAGGCTGCTTGTAATAGTTCAATAGCCTAATTGGCTGTGTTGCATGTTTTGTTAATTGGCCCGCTTCCCTCTAAGTCTTTTATCATGAACAGAGGAGAAGAAGGCTGCACTCATTTCACTGCTTTGCCGTTTCGTACCCATATTTAGCCATCTGCTAACCGTCTGTAAGCTGCTAATATTTTAATAGACGATGTTAGCTTAATCTCTCCGGCATGTTTACTTCTTCACTGTTGCAGATAAAAAAAAGCTTTATTCACCATTTTATATCCCCCTCAAACATCAGAGCGGTCGGACTCTGCTCATCGTGTTTCAGGGCTTATCTGCATCCGTTCGAATAATGCTTGTGGTTTTGCCTTTTCCGTTTTTTCATTCTTCTCTGGACATACTTTCCATGTCACCAGAGTTTTAAACTTTCAGCAGCAGCTCACTGTTTTCCTTCTCTGCCCTGGCCGTTCTGGTGAACCACTGTGGACAGGGGAGGGGCTAAGTATCAGTGTGTGTCTGCAGCACTACTGTATGAATGCTGCAAGCCAAGTGGAAAAAATGTTAGTGACCCAGTTTGTATTGATTTGGCCCAAATCAGGATCTTTAAAAAAAACAAAAAGCATATTTTCTTTACTGTTGATTTAAATATAATATTGTTTATTTTGACAACCCTAAAGCAAACAGGCATTTTAAAGTATGCATGGGAGAAACTGCACTACTTACGCTCTACTTCTATGCAGAATCAATATAATCTGTCTTGCATTTAGTAAGACAGTAAAGCTTGATTCTCACAGCAAGTCATTATTCCTGAGAGCCTACAGTTTGACGACTTGCTATGTCAGCTGTAAGCAAATGAGCTGGTTGGAGTTCTCCTGCAGATCCTGGTAGGGTTCCTGTATTTGCCTACACACCAGCATTTGCATGTGCAATATATTTGTGTGTGTGTGTGCATGTGCATTTTTTTACACAGGGGTGTAGCTAAACTGTCTTGAACTGTATTTCCAGGGGCCACACAGCTTACAGTGAATATCATGGCGATGTAGTTTAGTCTGACGTCCAAACCCGACCACAGATATCAGATTGCTTCATGGTTTTCCTCCGGCAGTGTTCAACCTCAAACATGAAGAGAAGGTGGGCTCTGGCTTCGGCTTTTTTTGGGGAGAACTGTACACCAAAAAACTTTTACAGACTTTGAGAGGCCAGACTCAATTAAAAAGGGCTGATTTTGTATTTTTTAACCCAACACATTAAACCATTACTTTATTTATGATTGGAAATCCTCATGTTGAGATGTTTTCTTTGTCTCAATTTAATACAAGGCAGATGAAGTCATTGTTTTGATCAAGAACGCAGCAAATAGTTTCTAGACATGTAATCAACATGAATTGTGTCTTATGTTACTTTAAAGACCTCATTTTGAAGTGGGCTGAGTTTTTTTGGCTCCATGAAACCATTTGTTAATGCAAAAGGTCTTTTTTTTTGCCCGAGAAGTATAAAAACAAATTCAGCACAGCAGTTTATTCTGTTTATCAGAGACTTTTATGTAGGTGTTACTTTTCATTTTCCACAACTACTGTTATGTCACACAAATCGCAATCCCCGGTTTCTCTTCAGAGTGTCTCCTCAGCCTCATGCTGAGAATATCTGCAAAGTTCAAAGCTGGCTCAGCCATTTCACTACAAATGGACACCGACAGTGAACCCTTTGGTTCTGCTTCCTTGTTTTTCCAACTGTGACCCGAGCAGCAGCCCTCTGTGGGGCTGAGCTGTTCAATGATTTGGATATGGATTTAAATGTGCTGAGAGAATTTATTGTTTCGATTGATCCGTTGTGACTTTGGTAGCAAAGAGGTTGGTGGGCCTTGAATAAACTCCCACATCTTCCATAAGGACATGCATTGAATGCTGGGACTGTTGTGAAGTTATTCGCTAATTACAAGCTCGAGAACAGAGCTCAGCCTTTCAAAACGCCCGATGCACTAGTTGTCTAGGTCATAGCCTAATAAGAGCATCAGAAAGAGATTATAAAAAGAAAAGAGGGGATACAGAGAGGCGGTGGGGTTGCTTTTTGTCTCTTTTAAAAAGAGGGCAGCAGACTGGATAGTTTGGATGTTTGCCTTATATAATCTGGTTGTTTATTCTGAGAACACAGCTTCTAATCAAACTTAATGCATGACTGAACTTTCAGACTGATGGTCACGCCACAATGCAGTAGTTATTTAGTATCAAGACCAGTTTTTTAGAAAGGATTTTTTTTTAATCTAATTTGTGATTTTATATATTAATTTACATTGACATGCAAACCAGAATGATAATTTGAATCCGAGTTCCTTTTATTTTGAATGACATAAATTGACATAAAAATCCCTATTTTTAAAGTAGTAATTTGAAGCTGCTGCTGCAGCAGACAGACTTCATGCTAGAGAACTTGAGTATATTTATGCCATTCCTCAATCACATGCGCATAGCACACTGCATACCACAAGGGTATTAAGGCGATGTCTTCTGCGTGAACTTTGCATTGAGATGATTGGTAGAACCCTGGACTGCTGGATCACATTTTAGCCCAAAGCACAAGCCATGTAGTCCTGCATGAGGTTCATGGACAGCATCAAGTGCACTGAGTTTTAAAATCATTGGGAAAACATTGAACATGTGTTGTTAATCCTTAACTTGTACATACCAGATGTATTCCTGCCAAAGCCAAACATAGAGTATTTCTATAGCTATTTGTGTGTGATACAGTTTGTTCATATTTAAATGTATTTTTTTTAATAGATCCTGTCACCTTGTCTAGATAAGTACACAAACAAATAATACAGGGCTGAATTTGTATTTTATATCCAATTATCTAGATACTAAAAATATATATCGATTTTTGTACTTTTTTTAAAATCAGTTTTTCTGTTTAGGTTTACTAGTATTCAACATGCAGATAAGTAAGTTCTAAATGACAAGATAAATCTCAAAAATTGAACTTTGTGGCTTTCTAAACCCCTTAGCTCAGTAAATTTAAATCTATGGTTCCTAAACTGGGTCTATAGTCAAACCATTGAATTCTTTAGTTTTTAAATAATTTGTATTAACTGTAGGCTAATCCAATCTACAACTAATCATTGAAAACACTCTAAGACAAAAAAGCTGATTAGATTCCCATAAAAAGCTGTGAAATAGGCATCAGCTGCCATCATTCACATCCATTGTTTTATGATTTGACACCATTAAATCAAACATGAGTCTCTTTGGACCAGGACCAGGAAATGCAGCTTGTTGTTCAATAACATTCTGATAAAAAAAAATAAAAAATCACCTGGACATTAAAATCCCTATTAAGAATATCTGTTTTGATTAATTCTGTCCTAATTTTAACAAGTGGTTTAATCATTTTTATTTACTGATCAATGACAACAATAAAAACCTTATTTGTATTTTATTTCTAATTCTCCATAACCCTGCTGTCCAAGATCCACTCAGATGGTTGCTTTTCATACTTTGAATGCTTTCTTTAAATAAACAGCTCTGACCAGCAAAGGGTTCTGGTTCTAGTTATTTCTAACATCAATTGTTAATCTGTCAGCAGTCCAGACCAGAGACCACTTTTCACATGTCGTATTTACTTTACGTGAAGTAGAATCCAATAAAAGCTGTCCTGGTTTGGACAGCTGAAGTCCACCACCCAGGTAGACCAAAGACAAGAGCAAACTTTCATCATGTTGCTTTTTGGCCCTGCGTGGCTGGCAGTAACTGTCAGGAGAATAGATTTCATAACCAGGGCTCTGCTGCTGCCGTTTGGGTTTCCATAGTTACACTTTAGCGAGTATTTCCACTTTCAGACCTGAGAGCAGAGCAGTCACATTCAGTGACAGGGAGCTGCTAACAAGCTCTGCAGGAAATACGGGCGGTTCCTTTTTTCCTATCAGTCAGGTGTGTCCTACAAAACCTCAGCTAACCAGATCCATCCTTCCTTTTTAATCCTTTTAAAGGTCCTGAAGGGTTCACTAGGAGTAAAACAGGAAGATCTGTCAATAGGTTTTAGGTTTTTCTTATATCTCTTACGGTTGATATTGTTTTTGGGAAAACATCACATTGCATCAAAGTCCAAAAAGCACATCATAAAGTCAGCTAGGATATTTTCAGACCAGTAACACAAGCTTTAACACATTATTCATACCTACTGGTTTTTCACATTGTTCACCTTCAAACCATTAATATTGATCAAGCTTTAGAGATATTAGGATGAAATAATCAGAACAGGGAAGCATCAGTAAGCAGCAAATTTCCTACTCCTGATTCAACTGGATATAGATCTCTATTTGAATTAAAGCTTAAAATGCTTCATTTTATTGCAGCTTTAATTGTGTAATTTGGATTTTCGTTCAACTGGAAGGATAAACGCTACTATGGTCTCAAGTTTTTTCCAGGTTTTCTTCCAAACTTACCCTGTATTTATTTCCTTTTATCTTACTTTTATCTACTCTTATGCTCTTTTTCTCTATTCCTGCAAAAAAATAAAATAATATCACAATATAGTAAAAAAAAAAGCCCCAAATTAAGATTGAAATGTAAAGAAAATATAAATAATATTAAAAATACCAGCATATAGAAACCATAAAAAAAACATACAGCAGTAGTACAGATAAATCGAAAAAATATCTTATGTGTAGATATGATGTGGTATATATGTTAAATAATAGGCAGTAATAATGTAGTAATAGGCTTAAATCTACATTTCTCCATGTGTTGTTTTGGTTTGCAAACATCCACACTACAATTAGCCTTTTTTTTTTTATTAAATCTTAATAATCACCCTCACCCTGCTCATGCTTGCCTCACATACACACACATCTTTTTTTTTTTTTTTGCAGCAGAACAGTTATGAGAGTAAATACAGTCTATGAGAAGCATATTTACCCAATAAACCTGCAATAAGAAGTAATGCCAAATTCCACAGCATTTCCTCTAGATGTGTTCAATAACGGAAGAGCTGCAGTGATGAGAAAATAAGACGTCAAACCAATGGAAAATTTTAACAAATAATGAGATACAATATACTAAAAGGATATATGGAAATGTTAATTGATAGGTGTGATAGATGTGTCTGCTCCTTGAAGTTTCTCTCTCCGGTTCTTTTTCCTGAAAAGAGATCACTAGGGCAAACTCTTTAAATAACACTTCATAAATTATATGTATTAAATAACCATGAGACATGACAACATTTTATGATAGAAATTGTAATTTTACTCAGATCAGAGAAGTTGCTTAGAGTTACAGAAGGCAGTTGCATACCCCTGGGCTTACTTCTCAGGCAGTGGCCCAGATTAACAGTTAGAGGCATTTTACATCATACAAGTTAGCAGATGAGGAGACATCCATGGCTCCTGCCTTAATAAAATATTACACTTCGTTCTTAGCTGAAGGACACCGCTTTCATTCCATTCTCAAATCTTTGCCACGTACAGAAAGATGATTATAACTGTATATCCGGACAGAGGAACTGTCTTAATTAGATTAACTGTTGGATAAAACATCAGTTCTGACACACAACAGGCAGCTAATATTAAGGTGTAATAAACTCACACATCATCAGTGATAATTATCCTTA